AGAAAAAAGACCCCCCCCCCCCCCATATCTTTGTGAAAGCAAATTGCAATTTTATGATAAAAGTTATGCTGTATCAATTTAATGCAGTGGACTATAAAATTCAAATTAAATGTGAGTGTGCTCATGTTTTTTGACAGTAACACTTTAATAATATGTGCGTCACACTATGAAAGAATTTTTGGCGACTGGAGTGGATTAGTTACAGTAGGTCAAGTTGACTGGCAGAGTTCTTCTTAGACGTGATCTCACAGCGACATCTGCTGGATGACAGGTTAAACTACACTTGAAGGCAAAACTGTTGGATGGAATCAGTAGTTACTTTAAAGTAAAGCTACCACCGGATGGAAACATGCAACAAAGCTAAAGCCTGATGTTGCGTAGTGGTGAATTTGTGCTCCAATGTATCTGGATCTCAAAAACCTCTCTTACAAGTCGCGGTTTGGTAACCGTGGTGATGTAACGTTCAGCCAATCATATCTGCTCTTCTTCTTAGCTCGACCAACCGGAAACAAGAATGTTTTGATGCGGAAGTTTTGCTCATGGGTGTAAAACGCGGAGCTGTGTGTAGAGTTTCAATGCAGTAAGATGGGTGTAATTGAGCAAAACATGGCTGTCAGATCTGCGATCTGCGCAGGTGCCACGCAATTTTTCACGCATACATTTTATTTAACGGTTCAACTGATAGACGGCATGAGAGGGCAACCCTGGGATGCCGGTGTGACATACTTGTACTTATGATCTAGAAATGGTTGAAACTGTAGTTCTGTAGTCCAGCATAGCGGGGTTAGTTACTGTTGTACAATTTTACGTCTGGTAAAGCATGTTTCGGCAAGCGGTGCGCCAGGAACTTCGATGCTTAAGGTAAGTTAGCTAATGTCACTGCAAGTCAGTATGAAGCTAAGACACCAGGCATATTTAACTTAGTTTGTGATGGCTTTGTGACACCATGACAGCATTCATTTGTGTGCATTGTAAACGAAAGGCCGCTTTGACTTTGTCGAGCAGCGACATAAACTGCGTTAGCTTTAGCTAACGTTAGCTAGTCTTTTTAGTGGCTCAGCCGAATGGAGGCTTTAAAGTCTGTTCTCGTCATTAACCCCTGTGAGGACTATCAGAGCAAGTTAAAGGAATTTCAACTCTTCATAGGTGTTAAACAATATTATGTGATAGTTTATGGCCTGTAGAAGTGCAGAATTCAGTAATGTCATAGTGTTTGCATATGGCCTCACAACAGCTTGTCATTTTGCCTGACAGGCAAAAAAACGCATGTGCAAAAGTTATCTTCATAAAAACGGGCAAAAATACACAAGGCTTTGTCATTCCCAATTCTTAGTATTACAGTGGCTTGTTTGTTCATCTTTAATCCTAAAATGCATAAAGAAGTTGTGTGACTGCAGAACAGTTGTGATTCTTTCTGCTATGGACATTTGTTCCTCCTAGTTTCAGTGGACGGCGTCATACATGGAGGCTGAAAAGTACTTCAGCAAGAGAGAGGGCTCTTCAGTACCAGCCAGGTCAGAAAATCCATGGCTTTACAGTCAAAGAGGTAGGTTTGTTAGTTTTCTCACCTCTGTGGGGAAGTTGGGAAAAAAATAAACCTTTATTTAACACTCTACTAACTCAGATTGACTTGCCGTGTGTAACATGATGTGTATGAACTCTGAGCATGTTTAGATGTTTGTATGAATTGATCCTCTACAAGTAAATTGTTCATTTTCTGGTTGAGTTTTGAGAAAACAGTGATTTTTGGTTTGTTTTTAGGGTTGAATGTCTCATTATGATTTCCATGACCTTGTACATCCACTGATACAAGGTTGGATGGATCCACCTCGATGAAAGTGTCTCTTATTCTCAAACAAATGGTCATTCCAGCTGCTGATTCTGTTTTCCCAGGTTGCAGCGGTCCCTGACTTGTTTCTCACAGCAGTGAAGTTGGCTCATGATAAAACTGGAGCTCAGTACCTGCATGCAGCAAGAGATGACTCGAACAATCTCTTCAGGTTGGGCGAAATGTTTCAGTAGTGTAGTTTATGTTCCTGGTGAAAAGGAGATTTGAACTTTATAACATTTGAGAATTTTTAAATGGTTACACTCATGCTTTAGTGCTTAGTTTGAAATGTGTTTGTGTTTATGTAACAGCGTTTTATTTGTACAACATACCAGTCACAGCACAACCCTGGACATTAGAAAGCAATAAACCTATTCCTAATAACTTGTTACTGCATTTCAGTGTCCAGTTCAGGACGACCCCCATGGATAGCACGGGTGTCCCACACATCCTGGAGCATACAGTGCTCTGTGGATCTGAAAAGTATCCCTGTAGAGACCCCTTCTTCAAGATGCTCAACAGGTCTCTATCTACCTTCATGAATGCCTTCACAGGTACAAAACAAACTTAATCTGTGAGTAAAAATGTGTTTATATTCCAACTGAATTATCTTGGATGTCAGTTTTATTGGGATTACTGAATGGGCTTAAGTCATTTTAAATGGCATGGAGTGCTAATGTGTACCAATGGAGTAAGTGAATATAAAGCCTCACCAGAAAAAGACCATATGACGGTTGGTTACCTGGCTGCCTAGTGTCTGATGAGCTCTTTGCACGGCTTGTTTTTGTTTCCTCATGAACAGCCAGCGACTACACCATGTATCCCTTCTCAACCCAAAACAGTAAAGACTTCCAGAATCTGCTGTCCGTCTACCTGGATGCAGTTTTCTTCCCTTGTTTACGAGAGCAGGATTTCTGGTGAGCATTTTCTGTTGCTTCAGTATTACAGGTTTTTAAACAGGTATAAGTAAATATGAGCACATTTCTCCAGTTTTGGCTTCCTTGCACTGGCTACCTGTTTATTTTAGGATCCACTATAAAATGTTATTTGTTTTTAAATCCCTAAATGGCTTTGCTTTAATGTATATTGTTATTTACACTGTACAGCACTTTGGTCCACCTTGGTTGTTTTAGTGCTTTATAAATAAAGTTGGAATGGAATAGAATTATATATGGGTGAATAATAAAACTTTACACTTATTTTCATCTGGACTGTAATAATGTGTGTAATTGCATCAGAACAATGCAGTAAACCCCCTAAGCAGGAGCCATAATTAAGTTTTAAATAAGTTTACTGTGAGTCTGTGCTCAGTGTATTTTCCTACATTAGGCTGAAACAGATTGTGGAAAGTGTTTCCCTCATGGTTCTGTTGCAGTCATATAGATGAAGTCAGAAATGCTTAATTAGCTCAGTGTGTCTTACTTTTCTAGGCAGGAGGGCTGGAGGCTGGAGAATGAAATTCCCACAGATCCCAGCACCCCACTGGTGTTTAAAGGAGTGGTGTTCAATGAAATGAAGGGGGCTTTTGTAAGTAAACACTCTCCCAGTCCCTGTTGTTTAGATTCCCTTGAAATGATTTGTCTTGTGTACAGTAAACACAAGCTAATGCTCATTGAATTTTTCCCACTGAACTGCATAGGAAAGTGTGTACAGACCTTTGACTGATGGTGTATGGTTGCCTGTACTGTAAATCTGTTGCATGTCTATCTGTCCTTGATGAGTTTCTCTTCCTGAGGTTTCTTCTTCCCTCCCCGTTAAGATTTTTGTTATTCAATTCAAGGGTCTAAGGACAGAGGGTGTCGGATGCTGTACAGATAGTAAAACCCTTTTAAGGCAAAGTTGTGACTTCTGATATTGGGCTATACATTAAAAAAAAAATCTGACCTGACTAGAAAAATCTTTCTTGTGCAGTTGCACTTTTTTGGAACAATAAAAAAAAAAACCAAAACATTTCAATATGAAGTGCCACAAGGAAATTAAAGTTCTGACAGTGGCGAATGCAACATAAAAAGCCAAGACGTTTACATTAGGTGTCATGTCACTGTGTTTGTGCAGTCGGACAACGAGCGCTTGTACGCCCAGCACCTTCAGAACAAGCTGTATCCAGACCACACCTACTCTGTGGTGTCAGGAGGGGAACCTCTGGCCATCCCCGACCTTACCTGGGAGCAGCTCAGGCAGTTCCACGCCACACACTACCACCCCAGTAATGCTAGGTACAAGGACTCGCACACAGAGCTTGGAGGAGTAAAGGTAAAACTGCAAACACACATTGTCAAATGTGTTTTCTTCTGTCTTCAGGTTCTTCACCTACGGAGATTTACCTTTGGAGCAGCATCTGAAGCAGATTGAAGAGGAAGCTCTGTCCAAGTTTGAACGCATCAACCCAAACACAGAAGTCCCCCCCCAGCCACACTGGACCAGTCCTGTAAGTTCATACTGTATCACTGCGATGTCTAGGCTGTTTGAAATTACAGAACTACCGTAACAATCTCGCCTCCAGTGAAACTCGGCAGAGATTCACGGCTGATTGCAGCATTTGACAAAAAAAAGCCCATTTTATTGTGAAAACTCGTAAACAGACAAAGATGATGCACTGCATGCCTTCTCTCCCCAGCTGTGTCAGTACCAACTGTTAGATAAAACACATGTAGAGGTTGCTTAGTCATCACTGAAGACTAACTGTGGGTGGCAGACATTGTGGGGGGTGGGGGGGGACAGACAAACTGCATTCTAAATTTCACTTGTGGAAAAAGTGTTTCCTTTTA